CCTCCGAGAAGTGGTATAACTTTTCCAAGTCATGCTAGTGGCTAATAGTAGAAACAGGTTTTGAAGCTAGTGTCTGTGGCGTTAACAATCCTATCATCAGAACGTAAGTCTATCACACACCAGCTGGATTCCAGCTGCTAGAGTGTAATAACTCCTAGGACCTTTGGAGCCCAGCACTCTATCAACAGCTGTTTCCTCTAGCAAGTAGCTTCTCTGGGCCTAACTTCCTGTATTTCTGAAATAGGAATAGAAAATAATGTCAGAATATTTATGACTAGCCAGACACTGGTGTAAGTACTTCACATTAACTCACAGAAATCCTGTGATGTCTGCACAGTCATTTTATACATGGGAAACTGGGGCATATCCTTATTTGGGGCAAGTGATTTGAAGTCAATGGTAAATCTAGGATTTGAACTAAGGCCTTCTAAAGTCTGTGCCACAGTGCTATGCTGTGCTTTCCCTAGAGATGATAGGATCAAGGTTTAAAAACCTCCCTGGTCCTGAGCCAGGTACCTGGATGGTAAGACTATTATAAGACTTAGAAGAAGAGAGTTTAAGAGTTCTGACCACCCACACAAAGAGAAGCACCAATTTGTGGAGAGGGTTGATTTTGATCTTCTACCAAAGCCTTCTTATGTCTCTGTCTTTGAACTTTCAGGACCTGCTGGCTGAGCATTCCTAATTGTGGGGGGATTCCATTAGAGAAGGCATCTGTTCACACATACCCCTTCCCTTCCCTGCACCTGCAGGATGCCAAGCGGCTGGCAGGTGGGTGGGGATGAGAGCTGCAGTGTAGCCAACAGCACAGGTGCATTCATTGCCATACGTGCCCTCCTTCCCCAGCCCAGCCTCAGGCCTAGCTAGTTATGTATGGCAGGGCTGCTTAACCAGAGCTTCAGTGTTTTCCTGTTGATGGTAATTAGAACCTTTCAGCCTCAATTTCTTACATGAAAAATCCCAATTCACCTGGATTGTCTCCTTGATCCAGTTCACCTGGAGCTATTTAGATGCTGCAGTCATTTTGGAGGGGAAAACAAGCTCCTAAGCCTTCCCACATTTGATTTGATAAGATCAAGGTGCTGAATCCTAGCTGGGTAAGTGCTGCAGCCACACTGCCCGAGTTTGAATTCCAGTCCTGAGTCTGTGCCTGTGAAATGGGGAGAAAAATAGTGAAACTGGATGAGGTAACTGGAAACATAAGGAGAACAGGGTGTTGCCCATAATAGATGCTCAAAAACATCAGCAGAAACAAACAAACAAACAAACAAAACCACCAGCAGGAGCTGGGTGCTGGTGGCTCATGCCTGTAATCCTAGCTACTCTGGAGGCTGAGATCTAAGAATCATGGTTCAAAGCTGGCTTGGACAGGAGAGTCCATGAGACTCTTATCTCCAATAAGCCACCAAAAAGCTGGACATGGAGCTGTGGCTTAAGTGGTACAACACTAACCTTGACAGTGCCCAGGCCCTGAGTTTAAGCTCCAGGACAGGCACACACAAAAAACACAACAACAAAAAACCCACCAGCGGGTGGTATTTTCTCCAAGCCTCTCTCCTCTCAACCCTGCTTCTTTCTTCCCAGCTAGGGATCTTGCTCTGGAGAGGCAGATGCGCTTCCTGCCTCCAGGCCATCCTGTCTGGGGTCACTGGTTATTGCATCCTCCAAGCTTTCATGTCCTTATCTGTGAAATGGGACTGGGAATAATGGTGTCTGTTTCCTAAGGGCTTTGTGAAGGTTAAGTGCACTAATTCTGTCACTGGGCTCAAAGTCTTCACTTTCATTACTGTTATTCCTACAGCACAAAAGGCTGCAGGAAGGGTCTTTGAAATCTTGGAGAGAGCACTAAGAGCCAAAGAGCCCAATATACACAGCAGTATTTGGAGTTGACGAGAGCCTGAGTGTAAGACCCAGGGCACTGATGCAAGACCTGTTCATCACTGCAGTGCTGTGCCTGGAACACTGGAGGCTGTGGAAATGTTAAACGAATGCATGCAGCACTAGAGTGTTCAGAAATGACAGGATTCAAAGCATTCAAATACAGCAAGAGATAACTTTCTGTTCTCCTCTCTTCTCTGTACTCACAGGACTTAAAAGCAAAACAACTCTCATTAGAGAAAGCATCTCTTTTACACTTCAACCCCGAAAGCAAATGTTATTCTTCCCATTTTTCAGCAGAAATTTAGAGAGAGGAACAAGTTGCCCAAGGTTACATACCTGGTAAAGTGCAGAGCCAAGACATGAAGCCTAGCCAGAGGGGCCGAAGAGGCCATTCCCACATGCTTCTCAGGGTTCTAGTTTCTTTCTGATCAGTCTCACCACTTGCCATTCCCCCAGTCCCTACAGGCAGGCAAGCAGGCACAGGAACAGCTCTCCCTGGCAATCTCTGGCCTTGATTCTATTTAGCCCACTACTTTAGTAGAATTCGAACTACTCTATCTCTCTCACACGCAGAACAGCGCAGCTGCATTTCATGAATCTCTTTGCGTGACCTCCTTCCTTCCTTAACGTTTGCAAGAGCCAAGTCAGAAGTTGTGGGCAGGATGGATGCTGTTTTAGTATTTTTAACAGCCTTTTTGCAGCCTGTTGCATTAGAGAGGTACAATATGGATTTTTGTTATTCTTCTTGAAGTACATGAGTTGAATAACATCAAGAACCTAAAGATGGGGCTAGGGATGTTGTACATGCTAGGCAGTGGCCTAACATATCTGGATTTGACCCTTAGCATCCAAAAACAAAAGAATGTAAACAGGGGCCTCGCCTCTGGAAATCATGAGACTGAATCCCAGTGATGTATTTCTTTAGTATGTATAGAGATTACTTCTCAGTGTGTGTGTGTATGTGTGCATGTGTACGTGTTTCTCTTTGTATTTGTCTGTCTCTATCCCTCTTTGTCTCTTTCTCTTTCACCTTCCTACTTACTTTATTTTGCTGTATTTATCATCCCAAGATTGTTTTCCAGATACCTTGGGGGATAAATGTGAATTCCTATGGCATCTGTCTATCAAATAGATCCCCAGAAATTTAGCTTAGAGAATCACTGATAATTCAGACAACTTCTGTGTACTCCCTGGAAAGCACTCTTCATTCCATGCAGTTTGAAAGTAAGAATGAAGTAGGCACATCATATTCAATGGTTTTTTTCCCCCTTCCTTCACCTCTCTCCTTCCTCACCCTAAATCTATGAGAACTGCACAGCTATTACTCCCTCCCTTGAAGAACAAGACCTCCTGCCAGGCTGTGCCCGAGGTCATGAGAGTGAGGGGAGGAGAGCGCACACTCTACAGTGGCCAAGTCGAAGGCCACAAAAGCCATCTTGATCTTTTGACCTACATTGACGCTGAGTCTGTTCCTTTGGTGTCCCTGACTTTGGCAGTGTGGTTAGTTTAACTCTCTGCCCCCACCTTGAATTGAGCTTTGATGAAAAAGTAGTAAGAACCAAGGCCTGTCCCTAGAGCTTTGGGGTTTCTGTCTTGGAAAAGCATCAACCAAACTAACAAGGGCAGGAGATCTGGATTCCTGTGGCTTGGGCTAACTTAGGTCCAAAGAAACCAAGTGCTTGTGATCATCATCTTCATTCCCCAGATGTAGCCATGTCCTCTGGATTCCCTTCTCTCATTCATCTTCCTCCCACCAAGGATGGCTTCAGAGTGCATTGCTCTTGCTTGACCATTAGCATATCTGTCAATATTTGAAATGCTTTAGTACCAGGGAATACTTGCAAATTGCTGTGGCCTGGCTGGTCCAAAATCTTTTGGCTTTAGAGCAAGCAGCAACAACTTTTAAGCACCGGGGTGGTTCTTTTCCCTTGAGATTCTGTAAACTTCTATGAGATTTGCCTCTTTGGCAGATCTGGACCACAGAGCCTCCTGACTTCTCTCTCCCACAGCACTGATTCTGTACATCAAGAATCTTTTGGTTGCCTCGATTGTATATCTTGGATCTTTATCTTGGCTTCCTATAATGGGATGACCAGATTTGCGTGCAAGCATACAAAAGAAACCAGCCTACTGCAATCTTGAATAACAAAGTAATAGGTCTGTGGGTTTCTGTACTATTTCTTCTTTGTACCCGTAGATATTCTGTGGATGGCCCTTGGGCATGCCAGAGAATTGAAAAAGACTTAACCAGTTTTGACTTGATTTGTCCAGTTTTGTTTTGTTTTGTTTTGGTGGTACTGGAGTTTGAACTCAAGGCCTCCTGCTAGTTGTTGTCAGTCCTTTTTCTGTTGACTATTTTCAGGATAGGGGCTTACTTTATGGCAGGCAGGCCTATTTGTGCTGCTCTGTGTCTGTGGGATAACAGGCACACACCACTGTGTCCACTAACAGTTGAGATAGGGTCTTATATCTTTGTTGACATTGAACCAAGACCCAGCCCTCATCCATACTTTTATATTCAAAGAAAACTAAGGCTAGCCGAGCACCAGTGGCTCACACCTGTCATCCTAGCTACTTAGGAGGCTGAGATCTAAGGATCACGGTTCAAAGCCAGCCAGGCAGAAAAGTCCACGTGAAACTTTCATCTCCAATTAACCACTCAAAAACCAGAAATGGAGCTGTGGCTCAAAGTGGTAGAGCACTAGCCTTGAGCAAAAGAGCACTAAGGCCATGAGTTAAAGCCCCACAACTGATAGAAAAAAAAAAGAGAAAGAAAGAAAGAGAGAGAGAGAGAAAGAAAGAAAGAGAGAGAGAGGGAAGGAAGGAAAGAAGGAAGGAAGGAGAAAGAGAAAGAAAGGAGGGAAGGGGGAGGAAAGGCTGATGAAGTTGTCTCTCTTGTTTCCTCCCTTCACCTGACCATTTCTCAAACCAGTGAAGTCTTTTTGGCCAAAACACTATAACTGGGTGCCTCCACCTGAGAAAGGCTTTTTAGACCTATAATCCTATAATCTCACTCCCTTAACAGTGACCTGTGAAGAAGCCGTGCTGCAGAGACTGACCAAAAAGGGCAGTGACCCACAATACAGAGACCTAATGTGCTCCTTTCCCTTTCATTCCAGATTTGCTGACCATGAGAGAATATCACTGTCTACTGCAGTTACTGTGCCCAGATTTTCCACTGGAGCTCACTCAGAAAGCAGCCAGGTATGTCGTCCCAACTCTGGGAGCCAACTGTGGGGACCAGGCTTTCTCAGAGAAATCTAAACTGTATGCAAGAAGAGAGGAACATTGGGGGAGGAATTGGCATTCAGTGGGGTCTAGTTGTTTGTTTGTTGAGACAGGCTGATCTTGAATCCTTGCCTCAACCTCCTGGGTGCTGGGATTACAAATATGTACCACCATACTGGACTTGGGTTTTTTTTTCTTAGCTTAAAAAAAAAAATGGCATGAGAGGTTATCTCTCATTAGAAGCAGGCAAATGGATTTTGCTTCAAATTCCATGTTAATTCTCCTTTGGACTCAGATCATTTTATGAAAGATTCAACTCTAGTGTTTTTGGGGGAAATTCAGCATCATTCTTAAAGACCAGACTACAATAAAAGGACTACTGTAACTAAAGCACTACTGTAAATAAAGAAAAGGCACCATGTATGAGAATGTGTACGCTCCAGGAGAGCAGGCAGGATCCATGCTAGTTTTGTAAATTTCTATCACTTAGCAAGTACCTAGCTATGTGCTGGAGGAATGTGTGAATGAATGTGTGAGTGAATATTTCTTGTCTGGCATTTTACATGGCTCTATAATTGTTCATGATTTCAGTCACTATAATGAGGGCTTGAACTCAGGACCTGGGCAGTGTCCCTTAGCTTTTCCTCTCAAGGCTGATACTCTACCACTTGAGCCATAGCTCCAATTCTGGCTTTTTTTGGTGGCTCATTGTAGAAAGGAATCTCACCAACTGTCTTGCCTGGGCTAGCATTGAACCTTGATCCTCAGATCTGAGCCTCCTGAGCAGCTAGGATTACAGGTGTGAGCCGCTGACATGCAGCAGAGCAGTTCTTATATTCAGTTGTTCCTTCAGGTATTCATCAAGTATTTCTTTTTAAAATAGTTTTGTAAGGAACATATAATGCATATACTATACAACTCACTCACTTCAAGTGTAAAACTCAGTGGTTTTTATTTTATTTCCAGAGTGGTGCATCCATTACCACAATCAAACATCTTCATTACACTAAAAAGAAATCCTTAGCCATTACTCTCCAATCCCTCCATCCTCCCTAGCCCCTGGCAACTGCTAATCTACTTTCTGTCTCTTTAGATTTGCCTATTCTGAGTGGTTCAGTTAAATGGAATTGTGTAACACAATTCCTTTGTGACTGGCCTATTGCTCTTAGCGTCATTTTCTTTTCTTTTTGTTTTTTTAGCGTTATTTTAAAGACTTAGCATGTGGCGGCATGTGACAGTGCTTCTTTAGAGCCAATTTATTTGCTGCTCTGCACACAGGATACAGTCATCAATAGTTCCTTTTCCTTATAAGGTATTTTAAAACTGTTACTTTTATTAGTGCACATTAATCCCATAAAAATGTTTCTTTTTTAGTTGGTAGTACTAGAATTTGAGCTGCTTGCTCGGAAGGTTTTCTAGTGTAAAACCACACTGCCAACCTTTTTGTGCAGGCTTTATTGTAGATATAGACTGGGGTCTGATCAGAGCCTTGTGCTTGCTAGGCAGGTGCTCTACCACTTAGCAGCCTGCAAGCCCTGGACTGGTTATTTTTAAGTTAGAGTCTCACTTCCTGCCTGGAAGTGTATCTGGACCATGATCTACTTATTTTAGCCTTCCCATTGTAGTGGGTATAAGACTCTAACCACCATACCTGCTATTTTCCCACTGAAACTGTCTTTTGGACTTTTCTGCTCGGGCTAGCCGGGAACCATGATCTTCTTGTTCTCAGCCTCTCATGAAACTAGAATGACAGGCAAACAACACTGTACCCAGCTATAAGTTAAGAAAAGTCCTTAAACCTTTCTGCCAGGGCTGGCCTCAAACCATAATCCTCCTTTTCTTAGCCTTCCATGTAGATAGGATTACAGGTGTGAACCATCTATGCCCAGCTCTCCTCCTCCCCAGGACATGTAATTTAAAAGGATATCACTTGAGTACTGGTCACTCCCTATCACCTCTTTGAGGTCACCTGGGTTTTTGTCAGTCCAGAATAGTTACTGTCCTTTCCCATTCCTCATGGTACATGGCAAACTCGGGAGGATCTTTCCAGATGGCTCTTCACACTCCACAGCCACAGGTTTGCATGCATTTCACCCATTCCCCCAGACCCTTTCAAACATGATATATGTAAGCCCTGCAAAATTAAATTATGTAATAAACCCTGTAAGAACCATTGTGGAGCTGCAGAGGCTGCTAAAGTGCTAACCCTCTATTTGTGGCAAGAAGCTCACTTACTGTTTGATAGAAACCTAGCCTTTTCATTGTGAGGAAGAGGAAGAGTAGAAGCCAGCCAGGGTGAGGGCATTATGGGAATGCAAGTATGAACAACAGAAGGACCTGGGAAATCCTCCTGGGGCTAGCTGCAAAAGTTAGAGATGAATTCAGTGTTGTAAGGTAAATCAGTTAGAGATGAATTCAGTGTTGTAAGGTGAATCATCCCAGAAGCCACATTTTGAAATATGACATATTGGAGTCTATTATACAGTTAACAGGCTGCACGCCGCCCATTGTTACAAAGGCCTGCAGCCCCCAAATACACATAACACTGCTAGAAAACATGCTAACGAGGAAAGAAATAACAAAAACAATACCAGCAAGCCAACAGCTTCAGTGGAGAGCTAAATTGGGATGCCATGATGACTGGAGATGAGCCAGGAGACAGGACACAGGACACGATCACAGAGACATACATGGCATGGCGTCCTGGCTGCTAGGCTGGTCTGGGCCTAAATAGGGTTGGCGCAGGGGCCAGATCCACAGGAAAGTCCCAGTCCCAGGCACTGGACTGACAGATTCCGTAACCTATCAGCCAAGTGCCCACCCCTGGAGACTCCTGGAGGCTGGGCACACCCATCATCTGGGAGGCAGGTGATAGGCAGCGGGTTTTCTTCCCCCAGCATGAAGACAAGATGCTTGACCCTGCAATCCACCATATGGTCAATATGGCGCCAGCCAGACCTGATCTCTTTACTTCATTCAGCATTAAGGAAAATTTGTTTTTCTTCCTGTGCCGTGAGTATCTGGCTTCTCTGTCAGACCTCATCTCCTCAATGCTATTCCCTGCTCCACTCAGCATGTGTGTATGGCGTATGTGAGTGCGTGTGTGTGTGTGTGTGTGTGTGTGTGTGTGTGTGTGTGTGTGTAGAAACTATAGATAACCCAAAAATGCTCAAGCAATTCTCATTATTCTCATTTTGTCCTGAAGGACAGGCTCCCAACTTCCCTCTCCACATGCCCAGGCATCTAGGCAGAATCACAAAGGAGGATGGTTAAGGCTGCAAGACTAACTCTTGCTAGAAGAGCAACTGCCTACCCCGTCTCCCTGCCAGGCCTACTTATTCAGATCTGGGGACAGGCTGCGGAAGGCTCCAGTCTGTGATGATGTGTGTGTAAAAGAATGTAATCCACAGGCAGCTGTAAAGCAGAGCCTGTGCGGGGCATGGCATTTCCACACGCGCCTGCCTTACCCGTAACAAGCATCGGGGCCAGACCTTAGGGCAGCAGGCCGGAACTGGAGACAAGAAAGGAAAGCACAGACAGCCTATGACAGCAGCCCTGCCAGAGACCCTCTCCACCTCATCATTCCTGCCTCACAGGAGCAGTTAGGTCATTACAGCCCTGAAAGATCATCGCAGCCTTTCAGCCCACCATTCTCCAAGTTGGAAAGCTTTCCTAATGGCTACCAGCATGCATTTGGTGGGGCTGGAGGAGGAGCTCAGTGGTACAGCCTAGCATGTATGAGGCCCTGGATTCCATGGTCACTCAGTACCAGGACAAAAAAAATGTTAACATGTCCTTGGAGCCAGAGCCCATAGTTCAAATTCTGGTTCACAGTTTATTAACTTGTACTCCTACGAAAGTTATTTATTTCTCTGATCCTCACTGTCCTCATTTATAATGTAGAAATGATAACAATGTTTGTAATAGTTGAATGCTTTAGAATCTATAATGTACAAAAATAGGGCCTGGCACAGAGGAAACTGGCAGTATGCATTAGAAGTAGTATTAACAGGAGCACAGGCACTGTGATGTTAGAAAGACCTAAACTTTTTATCCCTTAACATCTTTGAACCTTGTTTGCATATCTATAAAATAGAGGTAATAATAATAACTAACCATAGGGTGTTTATGAGATTTCAACAACAACAATATGTGCATTGCGTCGCACATTCCAGACATGATTTGCTGGGGGGGGGGGGGGTTGTTTTTTGCCAGTTCTGGGGCTTGAACAGAGCTTGAGCTCTGTCCTTGAGATTTTTTGCTCAAAGCTAATGCCCTACTACTTGAACCACAACTCCATCTCCAGTTTGTTTTTGTTTTGTTTTTGGGTTTTTTTGGTGGTTAATTGGAGATAAGGATCTCATGGACTTTCCTACCCAGGCTGGCTTCAAGCCACAATGCCCAGATCTCAGCCTCCTAAGTAGTTAGGATTTCAGGCATAAGCCTCCAGCGCCCGGCTGCTATCGTAATAATGTTAGTATTATCATTATTACCAGATTCTTAAAAAAATAAATAGGAAGTTCCTGAGTTCCCAAAGGCAGTGCTTTCTGGCCTTTATTCATTGTACAAACTCAGGAAATAATTTATAACAAAAACATTGGGTAAAGACAAGATGGCTTGTGGTTGGCCTGCAGGCTCTGGCCTCTTCACAGCTGGACCAAGGGAACCATCACACCTGTAAACCATTCAAAGCCCCAGTGACACTGGCCTGGGCCACTCTGCTCCCAGAGTGGAGAGTTTGAGCCCTGGTTCTCTGACAGCAGAATCAGAATCACCTGCATGGCTTGTCAACTCCCCCACCCCCAAAGTTCAGGAGCTCTGAAGTAGGGCTCAAGAATTCCTGTTTCCAGAAACTTAACAGATGGTGCTGATGGTCTGGGAACCAACTTCAAGAGGCACTGATTTAAAGTGTTGTCTGCCAGTCTCATTCTGGCATTTTCAAATTGGTTGGATTAAATTGGTTACATTCCCTTCTC